GTTGGGGGCAAGATGAACACTAAATCACCCCCCCCAAAATGAAACTGACTGCATCTTAATAGATCACAACAACAGGTGGAAGAAGTCTCTATTCTGGGCCAGAGAGAGAGAGTGAAAGGAAAGAGAACAATAAACATTTTACCTCAATAAATATTTGTCCCTTGAATCTAATGGAGAAAGAGAAATACACAAAAGGAAGTTGGGGGCTGCCAGAGGGTACCCAGAGGAAGGGAATGATACTCATGGAGTCAAAGCCAAGCACAGCATCTTATGGGAAATGAATTTAGTTGGAAAGTTCTGAGCCCTCTCTAAAAGAAGGCTTCAATAAAAGGAGAGAGGCAGCTGAAGGTGCTGAGGTACTGAGTATCAAAGGCAGATCATTCTCAATGATGGTATTTCAAGGTGAGGAGTTTATTATCCTGGGGGAGGCATGATATTCCTGGAGTGGAAATGAAGCAGAAGAGAGAAAAGCGCCCATGGAATCAGACTACACAAGCTAATTCAGTAAACCACCTGTCCAGCTTCAAATATAGATTATAAAATGAATATGCACAACCAACAAACCAGGCCCAGAATTAAGTAGGCTAGATAATACCTGGGATATAACATTGCTTTCAATGATACCAAAAAGCTCCTTATCAGAAATACCTATATTTAATATCAATATTCTCCTAGCGATAATGCATGGCTGCAAATCATTGAGTGTCATGTTCTCTGAAAAATCAAAATCAAGAGTCAAATAATTCAAAATTACTTAGGAAGGAAAAAATGACTTGGCAAATAATCTAATATCTAAAAGTATCTCATACTTGCATAGCATTTTAAGATTTATAAAGTACTTTCCTCACAATAACAATTATTAACCCTATTTTAGAAATGTAGAAATTTGGGTAAGAGAAGGAGTACCTGACCCAAGATCACATAGTAAGTAACAGAGCCAGGAGTCAAACTTACGTCAGACCCAATGCTCGCTCTCTCTCTCTCTCTCTCTCTCTCTCTCTCTCTCTCTCTCTCTCTCTCTCAACTTATCACTTTCTGCAACAATAATTAAGTACCACCCCTTTTGGGGCCCATGAAAAGAAATTTTAATCAATTCCCTTTCAATAACTATTGTAATTATTGCATGTCTGTATTGCCCTGTAGATTTTATGTCTGCTTTGTTATTCTTCTAGTCTTGCAAATTTGGAAGCTGGCAAACATTGTCTAACTCTCAAGATGTATCACTATCCTCCTAATATGTAGTCTGTATACTTTCCAATGGGAAAAAAAAATCTGTTGAAATACCTTATATGTAACTATAGTAGTCTAAAAAAATGTTACTTTGCATTCCTGGTCAACTTGCTGATACACATAAGATTCAATAATTGTTTAACTGCCACAGTAATAAGTATCAGAGCAGCATACATACTTTGCTAAATAAATATTGCTTGACTTAACTGTAAGCTTCTGGAGAAGAGATGACCATTTTTTTATATCCACAATATGTCTGCCACATAGTACACGCTTAACATTTAATTTCAACTGAATTTGAATTGAATTTTCAATGTTTGAATTGAATAAAATGATAGCTGCTAAATGCCACATCTCTATCAGATGTTTTGAAAAGAATGTGAAGGAATTAATCAGTCCTGAATATTATTCCATCTGAAAACTGATACCCAGAGTGGGAAAAAAAAATTAGAGTGCAAAAGGGTTTTAGCTGCACTAGTAACATGGTATCCACACATTAAATGTTGTTTCAAATATTTATTTTCATGGCAAAAATAGACTATAATATATTCATTTCACATATATTACATTTAGTCATTCAAGCTTTTCTACCCATCAAATGCAATTTACACATTGCTTTACAAACCAATTTCAGTTTTACAAGAATTAAAGCTGTTCTGATTATACATTTTTTTTACAGTATCAATGACCAGACAATGAAACATACAGAACTATTTTTGAAAGTGGAAAATAATACTTGACAACTCATTTGTGCTATCATTGAAAAAAAAAAACTGGTACACGGGCCTGAGTGATCTGGAAGCATTTCTAAAGGCCACTATATATCCTACCAACTTTCTCCAAATTCCAAGTTTCTATTAGATTTAACAAATTGTGTTACAGTTATAGAAAATTATATAATATATACCAGTGAAAGCTTTTTTCCTCTCTGAAAATTGTTAAAACCCTGCTTCACAAAGTATACTATTTGGTAGGATTTGAATGGTTCTTTTTTTTAAATCATGTAACAGAATATATACAAAATAACTTTCTGACCTGCTATAGGCATCTATTTTCTTTCACTTGAATTCATTAACATCTTTGCACACCAAATTTTCTTCTCATATGAAGACTAGTTCATGTCATTAACCTTATTATAGGATAGCATTTTAAAACTAAGTTTCTTAACCACTTCATTGAATCAAAGGGAATGAACACAGACAAAGTCAACCAAATTGCTTGGCTGCTACCAAAGTTTGAGTACACACTCATCTTTTAAAAACTGCTCTTCCAAAAAAAATTGCTCATCCAATAGAGCAAGGAAAATTTCTTCTTACTTGAATGTGTTGCTTAGAGATTCTGAAGCATACTAATAAACCTGAACAGCTTATACCTACAAAGACAAAAATTGAGCTACTGAACTTTTAAGTTGGATGCTATTAACCAAAGAAAGTTTGTTGCCAAAAATATTCAAAATGACCATTAACAAGATCTATAACTATTTGTTCAATATCATGAAAAACATACTACATAATTAAAACCCACTGGTTATGCTAGCATTAAAAAAAAAGTTCCAAGTTCCACAATTTCCTCCTTTAGTCAAGTTCTCTCCAATTGCCATATTTCGTTTGAGGAGATGTGCCAATTCCATTATTTGATGGTGCAAAAAATTTATATTAGTGTCCAATAACTATTCAGTAATAAAATCCTAATGCAAGTATATGTTCCAAATCAGTATCTAAATCTTGTTTTTATTCATTTAATAATTCAGCATTATATTTTTATCTGGAATAGTATGTCCTTCACAGCTTCCACAGGATAAACAGTCCAAAAATGCTAAAGGCTAATGCACCACCCCAAAAACTAGTTACATACTACATTGAGCTATAGCTCAATCCCCATAAAATGAAATTAGACATGTTCAAGGACATCTTCTCTGTCAGAGGCAAATATTACCCACATTAGAATTTAATAGCTCCAAATATCAACTGCTAGTTCTAAATGAAAGGCACAAGTTACCATCTATGTCAGATCAACTGCATATCTACAATGGTTAATCTGATGGCCTTTAATCCGTGCTTTTGGTTTCATAGATTCAGGCTAGAATTCAAGCTGGAAAAGAATTCATGGAGAATCTAGTTCAACTCCCTCATGGTGCAAGTGAGGAAACTAATATTAAGATCAAGTCAGATAAACAAATGTTTGTGGAATGAAATGATTTGCCCATAATCATCTAGTTGGCTAGTGGCAGAGCCAGAATTAGAACTCAAGTCTCCAGCCTCCTAATCTAATGCCCTTTTAAAAATGACCCCTTTTTAATCTGGCCCCAAGTGTGGATAAACTAATAAACAAACTGATCACTTGGCAAATTTTAAAATCACGGTTTAAAAGGCATTATGCCAATGGCTACTCAACTTCTCAAAATGGTTCTTTTTGATATTAAAAAAAATTATATGGAAACAGGTTACCAAAGAAGTCAATTGACCATTTTCCTGATGGTCTATGAGGTAACCTATATTTTAATGAGTGCCGAAGTCCATAGAGCAGAGACTGAGCTTCCCTAGTAAATTTTGCCCAGCCCAATCTGTTTTACGGAAGTAATCCAACATAGCTCTATACAGTGCTGACTGAAGAAAAACAAAGAAGAAAAAAAATCTGATTTTGTAGATTTACAATGACCTATTCTATCATTACAGGGCAGAACCTATTACCACAAATACTATTACTGTAAAATTATATCCATAATGAAAAGAATTCCAAAACTCAAGCCAAATGAATTCTTTAATTTTTCCAAGTGAAATCTAAAATAAAAAAAGTTTCAGTATAACAAGAAAAGTTGGATAGTCCCCTAGCATGTGTAGTAATAAGTTGTAACTTTTCCTATGTGCATCTACTCTTTTGAAACCTAAGTAGATCACCATCATACGATCTCAGCGGAGTGGAAAGGTATACATTTAACCATGAAACCTGTCCCAGTCTCAGCAGTCAATTCAGATAACTGAGGCAAAAACAGATTGCTTTTCTGAACTATCCAGGTAACTATAAAATCCTTCAATTTTGGTCTGGTTAACTGTGGACCAGCTCTTAAATGAGCACACTATCTTGATAATCACATTCCAAGTTTTTGTAGTGGGAATTTCTCTTTGTCTCTCTCTCTCTCTCTCTCTCTCTCTCTCTCTCTCTCTCTCTCTCTCTCTCTCTCTCTCTCTCTCTCTCTCTCTCTCTGTCTCACACACACACACACACACACACACACACACACAATTCCTGTAGTATCGATACACACACTTAATAATTCATCCCAGCTAATGCTTCTTTTTTATAGACTGAAAACTTTCTCAATCTCCCATGGATATGAATTTGGTATAAACTTATAAATTAATTGTACATAAGGATGGTACTATAATCTAATACAGAATAATAATGTACAGATGCAGCCAAGAATAAATATAAAGTCAAGAGCTCGTATATTTTCAGAGTAGTTTTTTATATAACAAAACAAATAATTTATTAAAAGGTACTGAAGTCATTAATAATATCTACCTATTTATCTAGTGTATGCTTCTTTAGAACTTTGGAACATTTTGTTAGTAGTAGAGACTAAACTTAACAGGTTAAGATGCAAACATTCCTAACTTGCCATTAATCTGAGTTTAGAGCTCATTAACCAAAATAAGATTAAAAAAAAAAGCAGGGGGCAGCAAGATGGTGCATTGGATAGAGCACTGGCCCTGGATTCAGAAGGACCTGAGTCCAAATTTGGCCTCAGACACATAATACTTACTAGCTGTGTGACCCTAGGCAAGTCACTTAACCCACACTGCCGGAAAAAAAAAAAGCAACTAAGGTCATTATTTCTTTCTTATTAAGTAGCAGAACACCTAACAGCCCGCCAAAGTTATAAAATACTTTAAGAAGTTTCTCTGGACTTTTAAGAATTGAACATTATTTTAATTGTCTTGAAGAATAAGCCATCATCTTAAACATTTGCTTATGTACACAATACACTACACTTCTAAAATTTTCCAGCACTTTAATTTAATCTTATCAGCAATGGAAATCCCTTCAACTGAATTTTTGAAATCACTATACATATTTTTTTTAAATCTAGAAATGTCTAACCTTCCTAATATTCCTATAATAGTTAATGAAAGCTATATGCCTTAATGAATACCCATTGCAATCTAAACTATCATTTCTCATCTAACTTTTTTCCCTCCAAATTACTCCTTGTAACTTGATCTTTTTAAAGTTTTTATATCAAAAATCATTTTCAATTTTTAATTTATATTAAATCCTCAAACTAATTTATATTTCCAATAAACATCTTTCCCTAAATTAAGCTTTAAAAAAAGATTTGTGCAAAAGAAAATAACTGAGCTCCATTCTTTGTTGCAAATTGTCCCAAATGAAGCCTGCTTTTAATAAATTAATCAAAATACATCTTCATATAAATTTTCTTAAAGGTATAAACACTAAACCCACTTCAACCTATGAGTTATACTTACAAAAGTCTGAAAGAAAACTTGGCCATTTTTAAACTCAAATAAAAAGAAATCTCTAAGTCCCATTGCCCTATCAGTTAGCAGGGATGAGAAGGGTACTGCTCAATGTGTTCTTTGCTTTCTGGAAGTTTGTACTAGCAGATTTCCTTATTTATTCCTATCAAAACATTCTAAGAACTTAGAACTAAATTCTAGGGCTCACTTTCATGCTTCACAGTAGATGTTCCAGAAGAATATCATCAATTTTTCCATAAATATCTGTATGATACTCTAAAATAAGACGTTCATTTCTCTGCTTAAAACTATGCTCTAGAATATTTCTTCAAAAGTACCCCTAATCAGGAAAAAAAGAGGGGCAATGTCAGTAGTGACAATAATTGGCCATTGTTAAATACTGCGTCTTAGCCTATTTTTGTAAAAGTATATAATTTGATATAAACTTGCTATAAATCTTTTACTTAGAACCTTAAAATAACCAAAATTTAAACATTGTATAATTTTGACAGGCTGTAATACAATCAATTGCTAGTTAACCATCATGGCAAGGTAACAGACTTCTGCATTTTTGCTATATCCTCTATGAAATCACATTATTGTTTGAAAGACAAATTTGGAGAATACATAGTATAGTTATTTTCCACTAATCTCTTTTTACAACTACCACAAAATGTCCAAATACTCAAAGGGCACAAAAAGCATTACATGGTTTCTAAGTGCAACATTTTAGGTAAATTATTAAAGCTAAAATATGCCACTTTAGTTTCTTAATTTATCCATTAGTAATCAATTTATTAAAATAAGAAAAAAACATATCATGCATTAGCCTTTAATTCAGTTTTCATAGTGTAATATCTTCTTATCAATAGGACACTCATTCCAAAAAGGTTTAATTCTGATTCCAATTGGAAGGAGAAAGGTAGTAGGGAAGATAGCACCATCACTGAAAAAGTTGTACAAATAAACTACTCAACACAACAATTCAAACATATGTAGAGAAAGGTAAGATTGCCATGAGAGACAATATGTGAAGTGTCTTACAGCCATTAAAGGTTAGCCATTATTAATATTATTATAATTCCATTCTTTCAAGCAACTAGCTATCACTGAACATAATCATTGGGTCTGTTGTGCTTTAGACAGAATTTTTAAAAAACTGATGTTGAAATCAATACTGTGTTCCTACTTCCAAATTGTTTTGATTCTAAATTTTGCGTTCACTACTTAAGTGGTCTCCTGTAAGTCAAATTTAGACTGGCAAATATGAAACTGCCTCAAGTAAATCCTCTACCATGGTTGACAACGACACACACTTACTGATTAGTGATTAATTAAGCTGCATCTCTGATTTACCTTGGAGTTCAAAGCCACTCACTAATGGCCAAAGCACGGCGATGGCCTTAGAAGAGAACTGATAGGATGTTGGTGCCATAGGGAGACAACTTTGAAATGGAAGTTGGGAGAAGGATATAGCAATGAGTATATAAAAAAAAAAAGATGTGGAGTTTCATATATACACAACTAACCCATAATCCTCCCTCTAGCATTAACATAAAGCATGGAACCACCTTTTCCCCTTATGCAATTTCACTCATCCCCCAAGTTGCCCTTTTGTGACTGCTCCTGATGAACATAACGTAACGATTTCATCTATAAATGTATAAATGCTGGGTAGGAAGGGGAAACAAGGAACATGATATGATTTATCCTATGACCTTAATCCCCCTAGGGAAGACCCTGCCTCCTGTCAATCTTTCAGCCATTTCCCCTCACCCCCAATACTCTCAGGAGTGATGTAAATATAGGAGAACAAAATTAGTAATACTGTATCTTATCTTTGTAACAACATAATAAAAATTTCCCACGCTCACAACCACGTTGCACTTCCTCACATCTTACTTATACTACATACTCAAAATCCTTATTTCTTTACATTCAAACTACAAAACATTTCTTTCGAAACATCATCCTCATTACTGTTGTTAATATTTCAACTCATAAAACAATAGAAATTGAAATGTATTGATTTTTCAGTTTTTTTAAAAGTGCTTTAAAACCATCTTATTCATCTACTAAAATTTCAACCAGTAAAATCAAAGGGTCATGTAAAGTTATGAATAATACTGAAAATATATCAAATGCTGTTGACTCTGTTACTTAAAACATATGAAATGACCGTTCCCAACTTTTCCTTTAATAAACCCTGAAAATAATTTAAGAATCGTTTCATTTTAAATTGTAACTTGGAAAATTTAAAAATTAATTTTCTAAATTCAAAGAAGCTTCCTATCTACTAAATGAGACCATTTAAATGTCTTTTTGTAGTTTATAGTTTGATAGTTAAACCCTAGGTTACCAAGAATAAAAAACAAAAAGAAAATTATAAACAGAAAAGATAGTAACACTTAAAAAAATATATATAAACTTGATGTGTCCAGAAACCAGTTGTAATTGTGGACAAGTCCCATGGAAAGCCGGGCTTCTTAGTAAGGAAACCTCTATATACTTTAGTCACAAAATAAAATTCTCTTATCAAAAAGCAGTTCTGAAATAGAAATCTATACACTGCCTTTACGATTGCCAGAACTTCCCAGCATAGTTTCAGTAAGGCAGAGAATTATTTTAGCTAGAAAACACAACTTCAAGAATGTGTGCAAGTACCGCAAATCAGCACAGACAG